CTTACCCGTCCACCCCCTCTAAAAGAAGCAGGGTCTGAGGAGGACTGCCAGAGTCTCACTCCCTAGCAGAGTGGCAGGGAATTTAAAGGGGTGGTACTTTATATTGGAAACCATACTGTACCATAGCATGGGGTTGTGCGCTTCTGCCTTCTCCAGCAAAGGATGGAGAACCAACTGTAGTGGGTGAGGCAATTCAGAACCCTCTTACGAAAGTCCCAAGCTTCCAGTCCCAGGTCCAGAGTCTAGTAAATTTCCCTCAAAGGGGAATTAATTCCCTCTTGCTTTGGCTGATTTCAGGGTTGTGAGATAACCCAATCTCTAGGTTGTCACAACCTAGTGTTCTATGTGGGAAGGAATCAGGCCACATCTTTTTCCTATGGCACTTCTTCAAGCATTGGGACCCGGCCTCAATCGCTGACGCCTTATTTACTTTGTGGTTTGATTACCGTAGTGCACTTTAAATGGGAATGGCCTTGAAAACAGCTCAGAAACATCAGGTTGATTCAAAATGCAACGACCAGGGTTTAAACTGGAGCATGCAGGACAGAACATAATACTTCAATATTGCCATCACCATCGGTTGGCAATTGTTTACAGGATCAAGTCAAGGCTGCAGTTTTGTCCTGTTACAGTCTTGTTACAGTCTTTTAAAAAAAGAAAAGAAAAAAAAAAGAAAGAAAGGCCTGAGGTCAGAGTATCTCAAGAATTGCCTCTTTCTGTATGAATTTGCCTGAGACCCTCTTTGTTTTTCTGGCTTTCCGAGTCTCCCAGTTGTCAAGAAGTACAGGCAGGGCGTATTTTTAAGGAAGGCACCCAGAATTTAGAAGAGCCACCTTAGGAAAGCAAGCCTGGCGATTTGATCTGCATTTTTAAATGGTTCTAATTTCCACCTTCCCAACAGACTAATGTATGAATTGGAACAGATATCCTTGAGGTCATGTGCCCCTCTGGATTTTGCAGCACAACCCTCAGCTAAATATATCCCACCATTGGTGGTGGGATGACGATGAGTGGATAGAGGAAGAAGAGGCAGCAGACTGGGAAGAGGAGGTGTCAGGAGCTGAAGAGGTAGCAGGGTTTGGTGAGGAGGAAGAGTCTGGCTGAGAGCAGTCCAGAATCAGAGGCAGAAGTGGAGGCTGGAGAGGAGGCAGGCTGCTGAAGAAGCCAGAGGGTGCCCTCCCTGCTGGTCTCCCAGAACCCAAAGAGGTGTGAAGAGGGCGGAGCAAAGACAAGCAAGACAACAGGAGCTTCAGATTGCTTGGGAAGGAACTGGGGGAGGAGGAGACTTAGGGAGCTGTGGGAAGGTGGGGACCTTCAGTCATTGCATCTGCCTCATTGGGGCAAGATCTACCAGAAAGAGATGTGCTCTCCAGGCTTGGCCTCCTGAGCAGTCTTGTTTCTTTGAAGAAGGAGTTCACTAATGCCATGTGAGTTATGCTAACCTGCTCCTGGCACCCACACCTGACGGTATCTTCTAACAACTCTCAGCACCCTTAACAAACTACAGCTCCCATAAACCTTTGGGAGAAGCTATGACTGTTCAAAGTGGTATCTGAGTGCTTTAATTGTATGGTGTGAATGTAGCTTCAGTCTTGCTGCTTGAGATGCACATCCTGGTGACAGGCCTGAGGCCGAGACCCAACCTTTGATCCTTCTGTGCACCACTGTGTGTTGGGATAATTTGAACACCCATCCCTGAGATGGCCAAACATTTTGCGGCTTCAGTAAAAAATCTGGCTGATGCAGTTCATAATAATGCCCCTTTTATGCCCCCCACCCCACCCACGTCTGTCACCTGTGTGTCCACCTAATGGTAGGACTGGCCCACCCAATGGCTATGATGCACTGGGGCAGTAAACCAAACATTCAGCCTTCCCACTGCCTGGAGGGGGGGGCTTAAGAAGGGGGAGGCCCCTCCAGCAGTAATCCTCCAGCCTTCCACCCCACTGTGATCATTTCATGCTTTGGAGCGTAAGATTTGATTAGGCTGATCCTAACAGGCGGAGTCCGTGACCATCAATTACCGCTCGTGAAATTACCCAGCTGCCACCCAAGGCCACATGAGGCGGGGATTTTTATTTTAATTATTTAAAGAAAGAAATGGACACATCATTAATTTCCCCTTCCTTTCTCCTCCAGATCATTCTCATCTGAATGGAAGAATTTAATATCTTCCCTTCTGCTTACAAAATCAATAATAATAATAATTAATAATAATCATCTCTTGTCTGTTCTAAACCAAATAACAGACACACATATAAATACACACACACACTTATATAAAGACACACCATAAACAAGGTTTCCCCAGCCCCCCTCCTCCTCCCAAGTTCTTTCCCTTCCAAAAAAGTGCATAAACACTGCAAATAAATAACATCTTAAAAAATAAATACATCAAATAAATAATAAAGGAATGCTGGTTGTGGCACGCAGACGTTGTTCAAGACATGAGAAGGGGCTTCCATCCTCTCCAGCCCTGGCACTTGTCCGTGACTCCTTCTGAACCAGGAGCCAAATCACATGTTCTGAGAAAAGTCAGAAGCTCCCAAGCTTTTCTGAGTATTGTGCAAAGGGACTAGGGTGGACTACAACAGCTCAACAGAACATCCCATTTCTAGAGGCAGTAGACTGGGCCCGGGTCACACCAGATGCAGGGGGAGCAGCAATAGGGGAAGTCCATCACCTCTGTGCCCAGCATCTAAGCTTCCTGGTGTGTGGGGCGGTGGAAGGACCATTCGCAGGTCCCTTTTAGAAATAGAATGCTGGTCTGGATCATTGGTCTTCTGCTGGTGGTTTGAGACACACAAGTGGGTCATGCAGCACCCGAAGAGGAAGGGCTGCGGCTCAGGGGTCAAGCACAATCTCAGCATCAATCACTGGCATCTCCAGACAGGGAAGGAAAAGACCAGACCCTCCAAGTGTCCCTATTTTCCCAGGTACTTCCTTGATTTAGAGAAGCTGTCCCGGTTTCTGATTTGACCCCAGAACGTCCCGCTTTTCCTTGGGATGTCCCTATTTTCACTGGAGAAATGTTGGAGGGTATGGAGTTATCTGACCCCCGAGCCACCTGAAGGCAATCCTGTATAGGGAAGTTTTTTTAAAAAGGTTTAATGTTCTATTATGTTTTTATATATGTTGGAAGCTGCCCAGAGTGGCTGGGGTGACCCAGTAAGATGTGTAAGATATAAATATGTGTATTTATAAATAGTAAAATTATCATTATGGAATGGGACGTCCCTATTTTCATAGGAGAAATGTTGGAGGGTATGAAAGACCCTCATCTGAAACCCTTGAAAGTTGCTGTTGGACTATTTGGAACCAGCCTTCCCCAACCTAGTAGTGCCCTCAAGACTCCAAATCCATCATTCCTGGGTGTTGGCCATGCCAGCCAGGCATAATGGGAGACAGAAGGCAAAAACCTCTGGAAGGGCACTACTGTAGTTTGAGAAGGCTAGTTATGACAATATTCTGAGCTAGACGGGCCAGACCTACGCCAGCGGTACCACTACATTGTGTCTTGTGTTTTGGAAAACAAAAGAGGGGCAGGGACCTGATACAAAAGAGAACAGGGATCTTTGCTGTTGGTCGGTGCATAGAAAGCTCAGCTCTTCTCAGATGTGCCTGACAAGCTGCAGCTCTGATGAACAAACAAACAAACAAACAAACAAACAAACAAAACCCTGTTATGAAATTATGAATATAGAAGGCTGACCCTCTGTAGCATCTGGATGCCCTAAAGAGAGTAAAAGTAGGAAAAGGAGAGTAGATCGTGAAAAGTACAAATGAGTCCTTTACTCTGGATATCAGGAATGGGTCCTCCTAGGTCATCCATCCAGCACCAAGACAGTTGCTCCCAATTAACCTCCATCTCCAGAGACTACCCCTGGAGTCTCAGGGCCTGGGATGCTCCTGATCTAGCAACCCCAGTGGTAAGATTCTTCTTGCTCTCTGGCAGGATGACCACAAACCAACTTTCCTTAATCTCCAGATGTTTTGGACTACAGTTGTGATTGGCTGGGGCCAATGGGACTTGTAGTCCAGCAGCATCTGGTGAGTGCAGATGGGAGTCGTAGTCTAAACATAACAGGGGTGGAGGATGAGGTTGAGAAAGACAAATGACATACAAAGCAATCCATCAGATCTGCACTCTGTGGTGGTGAGCGGTTGCCTTGGAAAATGTAGTTTGGTAAATGTTCCTGCTTTGTTCCTGCCCTGGGTTCCTTTGGGAGGGAGGCTAGGGTAGAAATAAATAAATACATGGTTTCTATTCAGCGGCAGTGGAGTGGAGTGGTTAGAGTGTCTAACTAGGACCGTAGAGACTCAAGTTCTAATTCAGACTCAGCCATGAAGCCCCCTGGGTGGCTTAGTCACTGTGTCTTAGCCTAACCTACCTCAGAGGGTTGCTGTGAGGATAAAATGTGTGTGGGGAAAGCATCACGCAGATTAAAAGGTGCAGATTTCTGCTATTATCAACACACTATTGATGAAGCTGGCACCACAGAAGGATCTGCGGGGGGTGGGGGGAGCAGCTGCAATTTATTTATATTTGTTCCTTCCTGTGTCTTCTTATTTGTATTTCTGAGTTTGCTTCTGTGTTCAGACCTCTGTGACAAGCTGGAGGGTGGTGGTGAAGAATGCTCCAAAGTAGGATAGAATATTGCCCCTTTTCCACATGTATGTGAACATGCCAACTGAGTGAATGTGTGCCCACTGAGACTGTGTTTAAACAAACGAATGAGTTATGAAATCCAAATCCATACTAGGGTGTTGGGGTTGAATCCAAAGTTAGTCCCACTCAGACATGCCCATTCATTTTTATGGGTCTACTCTGGGTGTAACTAAATTGACCGCAACCCAATATAAAAATGTTGCAAAAAGGTGTGCAAGCTTTTGAGTTCTCCAGAGCTCTTCATCACCAGCAAACCTTTGCTCTCTCCCTGTGCCCCTTTGCCCTGTTGACATTTAGCCTGGTGAAGAGTCCTGGCAAAGTTTGCACACTGTTTTGTAACATTTTGCTTGATTGGCCTAATGACGCTACTATGGTTTTTATATTTATCTGTGACTATGATTGTTTTAAAACGTGTTTTAATGTTGTGACCTTTCCTGGGACCTTAGGGTGATGGAAATGTAAATAATGATGATGGTAATAACATTTTTCTAGTGGGCCCACTTGTGTGTAAAGAGAAGAGTAGAGAGAGAGTGAGTGAGAGTGAGTGTGTAAACAAACAATACCCCAGGGTGGTTTAGACCTGGGCAAGGAGATGTTCCAGGCACAAAGTATTGAGGCACCCCACATTTCCTTGCCCGCAGGTGGAGGGCAGTTTAACCACCATGTCGGCCACCCCGGTGTGGGATTCTTGGAGAATTTAAGGATGGAGAATTTTAGCATCTGTAGGCCATTCCTCCAGGCAGAGAGCTGGGGGAGCAGGTTCATCTGGCTGGCTCCACCAGCTGCCCCCCTATCTATATCTACAGTGGATCGAGATCGAGCTATACATATATTTTCCCCTGAGGAGGTGAAGCAGGAAAGCAGAGGCAGGTTGGAGAGGAGGAGGAGTGTGGGCTCCTCGGCCAGGCCAGGCCCTTCTCAGACGTCCAGCACGTGGTTCAGGTAGGAGATGTAGCAGATGGCGAGCCGCAGGATCTCGATCTTGGAGAGCTTCTTGTCCGGGGGCAGCGTGGGCAGCAGCTTGCGGAGCTCGGCGAAGGCCATGTTGAAGGCCTCCACGCGGATGCGCTCTCGCGTGGCGTGCGCCGTCCGGTACTTGGCAGTGGCGCGCCGCCGCCGCCGCCGTTCCTCGCGGCTCAGGTGCTGCAGGTCTTTCTTCAGAGGGTCGCCAGGCTCAGCTACCCGGGACTGGCTGCACAAGCCCAGCCCGCCGCCGCCACCGGCTTCTTCCCCCGCGAGGCCTCGGCCTCCGCAGTCGCTGAAGACCGACTCCGTCTCGGAGTGCGTCGGCTGGAGGTCCAGCTCGGTCTGGTCCGAATTGAGCATCATGGCCCAAGGCAAGGCGGCCGAGGTAGGGAGCGGGGCAAGTGAAGGGAGAGAAAGGAGGGCGAATTAGAGCGGGTCGGGGGGCAAAGGGGTGGACGGGTGGGGCTTAGGGTCCCGGCTTAGGAGGCCACCTCAAAATGGCACACTTGGGTGGCGGGCGCTCCAGGGCGATGGCCCCCGCTTAGGCCATGAGAGAAATAAAGGTTGCTGGTCTTCCCTCTGGATCTGTGCCAGGGCTGAGTTGTGGAGAGAGCCAGTCATCCGACGAGAAGGGATTTCTTAACCGCCGAGGGAGGGAGAGCGAGAAAGAAGAGTCCTTAACCTGTTGAAAGAAGGAAAATGGAGCAAATGAATATATCTAAAAGTTTTTTTTAATGTTCAGGGCACCAACGTGTTTGCGCAGGCCACAGGGCGGATTGCGAGGAAGTCAAATGAAGATGCAAAGAACCCATAAAATAGCGCAAGCCGTGAAGACAAGAACTTTAAAAAAGAACGGGGAAATTTTATAACTTACTTAGGAGACCATTGTAAGCAGATAAAAACATTAGTGGGATTTTAAAAACATTAGTGGGATCTCATTTGTAAGGTAACAAAAACTATGGATAACTCAGATGGATAAAAAAGTAGATAACAGATTGATATGCAGTTGTAAATGTTGATATTAGGACCCATGGAAGGGATGGGAAGAAGTATTGAGATTCAGAGTAATCTCTATATATGGATTTGCAATTGATTTTGTTGTACGTTTTTAAAAAAAAATCATTTTATTTTTTTTAAAAGCGCAAGCCATAAAATAACTGCAGTTGTTGTTTAGTTGATTAGTCATGTCCGACTCTTCGTGACCCCAGGGACCAGAGCATGCCAGGCACTCCTGTCTTCCACTGCCTCCCGGAGTTTCGTCAGATTCATAGCTCCTAACAAATCGCAAAATAGCAACTGCTAATAACAGCAGCAGCAACGAATCCTTCAGACCTCTTCTGCAAATTCCCACCAAAAAACGTGGATAATGTGAAGTTAGGTGTACAGCACCTAGAGACAGTCAAATTGTGCATCCGCAGCACTGACCAGAGGAGGAATGACCACTGGGAGGAGCGCAAAGAAAAGAAACGACATGCTGCAGCGCAACTGGATGCCTTCATCCTCTCTAGTTGCAACAAGACATGTCTCTCTCATATCGGACTCTACAGCCACAGAAGGCGCTTGCAACTTTCCAACCATTTGACTTTACCCACAAAGGTGCACTCTGCTTCATTGTGTCCTGACACAGATGGAGGCCAACACGGTTGCAGGGACTGGAGGAGAGTAGCTTAGACTGCCTGTGGTTTTTATTGCTGTTCAGGTGGGATTCTGTAGCAAAAGAGGCTGCAAAAGGAGTCAAGCAAGCCTAGTGTGGTGTAGTGGTTAGAGTCCAAATCCAAGGAAGGAGATTCCACCACTTCTTGTGGGAGTCTGTTCCACTGTTGAGCAGCTTTTGCCATATATAACAACAACAACAACAACAACAACAAATATTCCCACTCAGCAATGAAGTTCACTGGGCGCCTTTGGGCCAGTCACTCCTTCTTAGTTTAACTTACCTCACAGGGTTGTTGTTAGGATAAATTGGGGAGGAGTAGAAATATGTAAACCAGCTTGAGTTCCTCGGAGGAAAGGTGGGGGTATGTAATAAATACATTCATTTAAGCTAATCACTCCAGCTGAGTTTGTCAAGTATTTCATAGTGTGACTATAAAGAGTCTGTGGGAGCCTGTCACCTGTGAAGTACTAGCTGGAGATGCTTCTAGAAGGCAGGCTAAAGCGAGCAAGGTGTCCCTCCGCCCACAGTAGATACCTGAAGGAAACGGGGGTGGGGGTGGTCCAGAATCATTTGCAAAGGAAAGGAAAGGAAAGGAAAGGAAAGGAAAGGAAGGAAGGAAGGAAGGAAGGAAGGAGAGGCAACATTGGGGGGGGGGGAGATCCAGGTTTGTGTTTCTAAAAGAAAATGAAATAAGTTCTGTGTAAAACCAATCGAAGAGGTGAACATGAAACCAGGAGTGTGGGGAAAGGTTGCGAATGAAAGGAAACAGGTGGGAAGATTAAAGAAAATGCAATGTGAAAGAGAAAGTGGGGGGGATGGGAAAAACGGGGAGAGCGACTGAATGTGGTAGGTTGGGGGAATATCTGCGAGTGACAGACGGCCTCGGTCTGAAAAGAGGGAATTCTCTGGCAGATGCTCCTACATGCTGCCTGTGGGGGAAGGAAGGCCAACGTGCTCTCCATCCCAAGACCCCGGAGGGAGGGGGAGGGGGGCAGACTTTGGAAGCCCCTTGCCTGCTCTGTTCCCTCCTGAGAGGTGACAGGTGGCGAATGGGAGAGGAGGGAAGACAGGCCTGCAGGGTCGGGAGGGAGGAGAAGAGCCCGCCTGTCTCTGGAAAAGAGCCCTTCTGTTGCAGAAATCTGGTGCCTGGGGCATGCGAAAGCCAGCTTATCCCAATCGCTGGGAAGGAAGGAGGGCTTGTCAGCCTGCTAGTCCTCAGTGCTTAATTTTTTTTAAAATGGGAGGAACTGGCAGCCCTCAAGTCTGCCTGAAGACACACCCTGGGAGCCTCCTTAGGAAGGAGGGAAAGGCACCCTCGTGGATGAGAAGGCCCTCAGTGGCTACCAGCCATGATGGCTATGCTCTTCCTTTGCAGTCGGAGACAGTAACATTACTGAATCCCAGTTGCTCTTGCATTTAAGATTCTCTTTGCAGGTTTCCCGCTGAGGCATCTGGTTGGTTACTTTGAGGAGAAAATGGACCTCTGGCTTGATCCAAGGCTCTTTGTTTATGCTCTTATGTGGCACTCCGTCTGTGCTCAAATTACACTTTGCATGGTCAAGAGGAGAAGCAAGACCCTAAGCGATAATGAATCCGTTACATCCAGGGAGTACCCACATCTTTTGGATCGAGGAAAACAAACTGCTCAACTTGCTTTGAAACATTTCTTCTCCATACCATGCACAATTAACCCAGGATGCATTCGCTGCTACAGGATGGGGTAATAGTCATAGGCTTCAATGCTTTAAAAACAACAACAACTAAAGGTACACTTATGGAGGAAAAGAAGCCTATCAATCATAATGATACGGAGGCAGAACCTACAGTTCGGAGGCAGTCTACCTGTGCTGGGGGCAAGTAGCATGGGAAGGCGGGCATGTCCTGCTTGTGGGGTTCCCAAGAAGAAGCGTTTTGACTGACCTGCTGGAAAGAAGATGCTGGATCGATCCTGCACTGATCCAGCACGGCAGGGCTCTTGATTTTTGAAAGTTGACAAAGAAAGGGGCACTTTTCAACACAGCATCATGTGGCACAAAACATTCTTGTTCCACTCCCTGCCTCCCCCTGGCCTAACCCCCTGGGTATCAATACACCGTTGTTTTGCTAGTGACTTTGGGTTATCCAAACTTCGTCCAGTTATCAGAAGCTACAGCAGAGTTCTGAACCAGTGTATGAAAACATGTTTTGAATAAGGAAAGGAAAACGGGTTCTTGAGTTCCTCTGGGGGTGGCTGAGCTCCTAAGAGCTTGTTAGCATGCAACTCATCTTCAGGGTTCACCCCTAGAAGGGAGAGAGACATGCCTTCCCTCTGTTGCACACCCATCATGGACATGATGGTGCCACGAAGTGAACAAGGTGCTGCTATTTCACATGCTGGAGTGAGGCTCATTTTTAGCTTCTGACAAGACACATCCCTGGCTTTAAAAACCAATAGTTTGTTGCAAAATCAGTAGACTGAGCATTGAGTGTGCAAGGGAGAAGCCTTCAGTGTGAGATGATGGGAAGGAGGGCACTGGGGTGTTGCAAGCTGATCTCTCATTTCATCAGTGAATGTTGTGGGGCAGATGTTGCCTCCCCAATCCCAGATCTGTGTGTCGGTGGTTTGGTTACAGAACCACACTGCACAAGTTCAGAGATGTCTCCTTCGTGGCATGAAAAGCTCCCTGGGCTGAGCTTTCAAGGCTGAGCCACGGCTAAATTAAGCCCCTGTGAAGTTGTCAAACAAGGGGAAGCTGGAGGGAATGTGGATAAAAAATGCCATGGTATTTGGGGAGCAAACGCAGCTAAAGGAACAGTCTCATGCTTAATTTCTGATACACAGCACCCTGAGGCACAGTTACTGCCCTGCAAATGACACTGATGGACCCGCCTTCTGGGTGTGTGGAAGGAGGAAAGGCACTCTACATATGCTCAGAGGCACCAAATGCCTTTTTTATTACTGCCTACTTCTCTGAGTGGCACCTGGAAGTATAAGCAAGGTTTTTGGGCTAAGTGCAATCAAAGCCAAATATTGTGAGATTTGCCCCGACTCTCTCACTGTGTTCTGTTCTCATGGTAGCTTTCGGGGGAAGGGCATTTGCTCTGCATATGGAGGATTCAAGAAGGAGCTAAATTCTCCAAGCTGGTTTAAATGAATCTAGTTATTAATTCTCAGGATTGTTAAGGTGTGTGATCGTACGTTTAGCATTTAAAAAATGAAAATAAAACCAACATTAGCAAGGGACACTTCATTTAAAGAAATGCCATCTAAAATGTACAATGATAATATGTTAAGCCAAAACCACATGAATTCAACACTTAAAACTTTGCCAAACTTCTCACAGAGTTGGAGTCAGGTGGGAGAATACCAGCGCAAGATCCTCACGCATCTGGAGGGCAAGGCTCAAACATAGATGGGCACCGGGCATTTCCCACCTCAGAGGACCACAGGAAACTGCCTTCTGCTGAGCTTAGCCCATTATTCCCTCCAGCTCAGAACTGTCTGCACTGACTAGCAGCAACTCTCCAGGGTTTTATTTAGGGTTTCCCCCCAGCCCTACCTGGAGATGCCAGGAAGTGAACTTATGTACAAATTTGATGCTCTGCCACTGAGCCGCTACCCTTCAAAAACGAAAGGCGCAGGAGCAGAATTTGCGGGGACACCCTTGGGAAGACCGGCGTATCTTAGGAGCTGCCTTGTGCCACACTGGGTTCTTCCAAACTTCCTGGAAAAAGCCCATCATTCAGAGCACATGCAGAGGCTGGATTTAATCCCCCACATGCCAAGTTTTAAAAGGATCTCGGAAGGAAGAGATAGGAAAGGTCCTTCTCTGCCCACGTTAATACTGGCAAATGCCGTGGGCTCAGGCTGCAAGGGAGCGAAGAGGCTCATTCTCACGGAGTGCTTTTTCATTTGATGCTGAAGCCCCGTCCTCCAGTTGAAGGCTAGTCAAAGTCTGTGCCTGTGCATCTTTGGGAAATATTGCAAGACGTCTCTATCTGGGCTGCCTTTCAGGAGTTAGAATTAAGTGGACAGGTTGGGGAGGCAATCTCTGTCTGAGTGCCTTTCTTTCTGCTTTATCCATGGGATGAAGGAAGGGGACCGGCAGCCCCATCCCTCTCCCACCCCCACCCCCTCTATCCGTGGAGCATCACCCTGCAACCCAGTCAGACGGGAGGCATTACTATTACTATTACTATTTGTGCTCCACCCAGATCCAATGGCTCCTCTCTGAATCTGCCTCTAACAAAACTTTGGCTTGCAATTCTTTACGGATATCACGGAAATGAAGGCAGCCCACTCTTAGACACAAACTTGCCTCGCCTTTCTAGCAGGTTTGCCAACTTTTTTTAAAAAAATAGAAAAACACCAGCCTCGGCTCCTTTGCCTGATCTTCTGACACGAGCAGGTAACAAGGTTTATCTCCTGTGTTGTGAACAGCTGAACATGAATGATGTCTACAGAACATGTTGCTCTAAAAGGTAACGAGACCAGGCCAGGCTGGTCAGTTGGCAATCCTGTTCCAGAAAGAAACAAAACAGGATGTAATTCATTTCCTTCACAGCACAAAATCCGGAGAGGGAAATGTTCATGAATCAAGACAGTAATAGGGAAGTTTTTAATGTTTAATGCTGTATTGTGTTTTAATATTCGGTTGGGAGCTGCCCAGAGTGGCTGGGGAAACCCAGCCAGATGGGCGGGGTATAAATAAATTATTATTATTATTATTATTTATTATTATTAAATAAAAGTGGTTTGCTTCCGTCCATCCATCCACCTGTCTGTCCTAGACATTGGAAGTAACAGGCAGAAGAACCATGGTCTATAAATGAATGACTGACCAAGGCTCTTGAAATGATAGAAATGGGTCAGCAAACAGATGTAGTTCATATAAGGCATGGGATCTCTTCACCTGTTTTGTTAAATGGAGACTTTCTTTCTTTCTTTCTTTCTTTCTTTCTTTCTTTCTTTCTTTCTTTCTTTCCCATCTACACTTCTCTGCCTACTGATTGTGGCAACATCATTCAGCCGGGTACCACAAATGTGCAAAACCAACTTTCAAACAGGCCACCTTTTTTAATTTCCAAAAAAACAAAACCACCACACAGTAAAAAAACCCACACAGGCCAAGACATATGAGAAGTCTTACCCCTGAGTAAAGGAGACCCTTTCCTTCCCAAACCACTTCTTCCTGGAGCGCTTTTTCCGCTTCAGAGGCAATATCCGAGTGGGAATCCAGGTAGAGCGGGCCACTCCATTCATCCCTTGATCCACTCATGCATCCCATCATCTGCAGGCAAGAAAGTTTGCATCCTTGTGCTCCCAGCACCTGGCTCCTTCTGGCAGGGGTACGGCAGCCACATGGGGGCCCCCTGATCCGCCACACGCCCAGGTGCTCTGCACTGACACTATGGGCGCACCTGGGGATGCCTGCCCCAACCACTATATATACCCAGCCTGGCCGCATGCTGTGTCCATCATCGGGCTTCCCATTGGCCGCTCCAGTGCCCCCCCTCATAAATATTAAAAGCCAGGAGCAAGGATGCCATTGGCTGGGAAAAGAAGGGCAAGCCCCTGGGACAGGAGGAGGGGGGGCCTGGAGGAGAGGGGAGGGAGGGAGGGGGGAATGGGGTGTGGGCCCTCAGGGAGTTGGAGACATCTGTTCAGCATGCATATTTCATAAAGAAGAAATAGAGAGAGAGGGAAGGGGAGAGGCAGAATGAAAAAGGGAGACAGAAGCCGGCACGCGTCGCCTTCACATAGGAGGGGAATCATTAAAGCTGATTTAACAGAGACAAATCCCCCCCCCCCCAAGACAGCCTTGGCATCACCCTGAATTCTGACAGTTGGTGCAGCGGACTTTCCACTTAGGCTGTGTGTGCAATGGGAGGCCGCGTGGGCAAAGGTGGATTTGCAAGGGCCAGCAGCCAGTGGTCAAGATGTTTGGAGTGGGGGGGGCTCTCCCTCAGTCCCCCTCCTTCACGCCCCCCACTTGCTAGCCCCTGGGCCCAGTCAGCACCTCCAGAGGATGAGGCGTGAGGAGGTGACAGCTCCTTCTCCCAACTCCTCTGGCTGCTTGCATGCAGTTTGAGCAGAAGGTGCAGCAGGCAGCATCAGAAGAGGCTGGCTGCAGGATCAGGCCGGCTAGCCCAGCATCCTGCTGTCACAGGGGCCAACCAGACGCCTGCAGGAAACCGGGAAGTAGAAACTTGAGTGCAGCAGCGCTCTAGTGGTTCCCAAACAACTGCTATTCCAAGGCGCGCTGCCCCGGCATTGGTTTGAGAACAGATCCATATGTAGCCACGGGTAACCTTATCTTCCATGAATTAGCGTGATCCTCTTTTTAAGCCGTCCAAGTTGGTGGCCCTCACTCTACACCGTTCTGGAGCGAACCGCAGAATTTTAACAAAAAGCTGTGTGGAGAAATACTGTACCTTATTTTGCCTGCCCTGAATCTTCCAACATTCAGCTTCGTTAGATGTCCTTAAATTCTAATGTTATGAGAAAAAGCTATTCTCTATCCACTTTCCACACACCGTGCAAAAGAATCATTAGCATATGCCCCCATATTCGCCTTTTTTTCTAAACTAAAAAGCTGTAGCAAGGACAGGAGGATTCTTGGATCTACTTTGGTCCCTGACGGCCCTCAGCCACCGTCTGGTAGTGCCACTGCCAGCTCCTGGCACCTGTCTTGCAACATGAAGCAAGCACACACTTATAGGGTGAGCTGCTTTAAAGTATTTGATTCTTCCAGTTTATACAGTGGTACCTCAGGTTAAGAACTTAATTCGTTCCGGAGGTCCGTTCTTAACCTGAAACTGTTCTTAACCTGAGGTACCACTTTAGCTAATGGGGCCACTACACCACTGCGCAATTTCTGTTCTCATCCTGAAGTAAAGTTCTTAACCCGAGGTATTATTTCTGGGTTAGCGGAGTCTGTAACCTGAAGTGTCTGTAACCCAAGGTACCACTTATAACACTTTTGTGTGTTCAAAATGCTTTGTTGGCATTCTCTTGTGCTTGTCCTTATAAGCCCCTGCAAAGTTGCTTTTATATCACCTGCGGCAGGTTACTGCTTTTACACTTTTTCCAAAAAAAGATACACGTTGCCACTTGGGGAAACTTTGGCCCACCTGGTGCTGCTGAACTACATCTCCTATAATTCCTGGCCATTGGCCATGCTTCCCTTGGCTGATAGGAATTCTTATGCTCAGGGCAGATCCATTGAAATAAATGGATATGTTAATCATGGCTATGAAGTTTAGTGGCTTACTCTAAGTAAGGCTTACTTGGATACAACCCTGTGCCATTTTAATGCTTTTGTTCTACATCTGTTTTTACAGTATAATTGTAATACTATGTAAGCTGTCCTGGGAACATTTATTAATTTTCATTTTGTGGATTTATATCTCACCTTTCACCCTATAAACAGTTGCCGGGCAGGTCACGGCATAAGCATCACATCAGTTCCATACAAAGAAGCCAGCCTTACTTAACAAAAATAAGATTTAAGTGAATACACATGTTCCTCATTTGCTAACAGTGGCGTAGCGTGGGGGGTGCAGGGGGGGCCGGCCGCACCGGGCGCAACATCTGGGGTTAGGGCAAATCCACAGGTTAGGGGGCGCAAATCCACGGGTTAGGGGGCGCAAATTACTTGCCTTGCCCCGGGTGCTGACAACCCACGCTATGCCACTGTTTGCTAAAACATTTCTTTACTCCTCAACCTCAAAAGGGTTGACAAAAGGAGGAAGATGCTAAGTAAAATGCAGGGACGGGGAGCTAGAGGGTGGCAATGGGAGTGAGATAATGGCAGAGAAAAGAATACTAATGCTACTCATGATTAGCAGATTAAAACATGAGTACAATCACATGTAATATAACCATAAAATACAAAACCAACAATAATCCAAATACAGTGGTACCTCGGGTTACATATGCTTCAGGTTACAGACTCCGCTAACCCAGAAATAGTACCTCGGGTTAAGAACTTTGCTTCAGGATAAGAACAGAAATCGTGCTCCGGCGGCGTGGCACCAGCAGCAGGCCCCATTAGCTAAAGTGGCGCTTCAGGTTAAGAACAGTTTCAGGTTAAGAACGGATCTCCGGAACGAATTAAGTACTTAATCTGAGGTACCACTGTACTAGCTGCGGTGAGACACAAACATCAAATAAGCACATGGGTAAAATGTTTAGTTCAGTGTGAGTCTGTGTGGTGGGCAGAGCAAAAACAACCAGAATCCTTTCCGCTTAACTTGGGTCCAGGCACTGAGCAATGCCAGAAATCTCGATGATGCCCCCCAGAATATGAAGCATGTTGTTAACAGCACAGATTTTGCCACACCTGTTGTGGAATTTGTTTCTTGCTTCTTTTAATGTATAGTTTTCATTCCCCTCCCCCTTTCCCCCACCAGCAGCCCAGTTTAAGCATGTTTTCTCTCTGTTTGGAGGGGGGAGGGAAATGAAATTTTAAAAACAACTTTATAATTGGGTTTTCCTCCGCTGCCCCTCCATTTAATTGGAGCCATAGACTTCCTGATTTGTAGTTTCTTGTTCTAGCCTGGATGCTCTGCCATTTGCATAGAAGAGGGAAACTTGACCAGTTGCAGCTTGTCCTTCAGGGGAAAGGGAAATTCCCTTCTTGTCCGCGTAAAAGGCACACAAGCCCCAGTGTCCTCTCTGGGTGTGATCACACTGCTAGAACTAGGTTCTGGAAAGGAAGCCATCCATCGTGGTTAGAGGGTCTAGGACCTGGGAGGCCAAGGTTCAAATTCCCTCACTGGGTGATCTCGGGCCTATCACTGCCTCAGCCAAACCCACCTCTCAGGGTTGTTGTGGGGATTAAATGAGGAGGGGGAGAACCATGGATGCCACCTCAAGCTCCTTAGAGAAAAATGTAGGCTATAAAGGCAATAAACAAAAAGAAATGACAAGTATCTCATAAAGTCAATGAACATCTGAACCACCCCTGGCCATCCTTCCAGCTCCACTTGATGACAGGGCAGGTTCAAGCGGTCAGTTGCACCTCTGGTCAGTGGCGGAGCAAGCCAATCGGGCGCCTGGGGTGGCGCCCGTGCCCTGCGCCCAGGGGCGGGGCCAGCGCGAGCCGGGGCAGGACGCTCTGTGGGGCCTCCGAGGAGTCTGCCTGCCTCCTCCCGCTCAGCCACCCTACAGCTGAGGGGGAGGCGGCGGGCGGACCGTTTGGGGCAGCGCGGAGTCAAGCCACCGCGTCACTTCCAGGAGAGATGTGTGGCTCTGGCACACTGCAGGCCCCGCAGTGAATGCCGCCCGGCATTTTGTCACCCCCTCAGTGGTGACACCCGGGTCAGCCCACCCCCACTGCACCCCCTTCCTCCTCCCCTGCCCGTCAGCTGTCTTGGACTTCCAACTCCCATCAGACCCAGCCATTATGACCATGTTGGCCAGGGCTAAGAGGAGTTGTGGTCCAAAACGTCTACGTCCGTTAGGGTTGCTATTAAAATTGCTTCGTATCTGATGCTGAAAACCGCCTTCAAGGTACATTTCACCTAGGAGTGAATCCCACCAATTGCAGCACAGTTCTCTTTTGAGTCCTCTCATTTCAAACACTGCTGGGGTGTGTTTGTGTTCCATTCAGATTGTAAGGCCCTTGGAGCAGGGACCTTCCCTCTTTTAGCTTATCCGTCGCACCTCTGCGACAAATGCCAACGAGCGCACAAGCAGCGCAGCCAACAGCGAATTAATTGTTCCTGAAACCCCTAGCAAACACCCACTTTGTGCCTCGGATGTTCCTTTTCTGGAAGAAGAGACCTCCTTTTGCAGAATCCGAGCAAATCCAGGCCGACTGTTCCCAGGCCTAGCTCCGGACTGAGTTGCTATGGGCACAGCGGAGGCTGCTGTGAGTGTGTATTTTACGGGGAGGGGGGAGTTGAGCGGGAAGGCAAATGGGAGCCATGAAAACACCAGAGAGGCAACATTTGGCAAGAGGCAAGGCGACATATTGTACAATCCCATGGGGGACCTTGGCTGGCCTGTTCTTGTCAGGCAGAGCAGACGGACTTAACCCTTGAAGGGCCGGCGGAGTGCTGCTGCTGACTCCCTCCATGCTTTATTTTAAAGTGAGGAGCAGAAGGAAGATCAGCAGCTGAGAGATAAACCATAGTGGCCATTATCGCTATCATATTTTTTTTTAAAAAAAAACCCCCACACCAAATCTTCAGCAACTGGGAAGGGACTCCTCCCCATTAAAATAATAATAACAACAACCTTGATAGGCTTCTTGGCTTAACTTCAACTCCTGGGAATTTCTTTGAAAACAGAATTGGCTTGGAATTGTCTACAAGAAACGAGGGCGATCCCCAACTGCTACAAAGCCATTGCTAGGAACCAAACCACCACACACGCCTTCAACGAAAGAGGTGGCTTTTGGTGGGTAAAAGGACTGCCATGGGCTA